GCATCCTGTGAAACAGTAAATAATAAGCAAGAGCGATCCTGGAGGTGGCATACACCTCATTTCGATTAACCCTTTTACTGCCACCAACGTATGTCCTATGTTGGCAGATACAGGGGGTTTTGCACACACAACAGCAGGTGGGAAATGTCTATTTGCTGACTTTCCTTGGCTACTGTGACCACAGATGAAGCTAATGGAGCATGGTCTGCACTTCATTAGCTTCAGTAGAGTGCAGGGGAGACATCACAGATCTAATACACCCTTGATGTATCATTAACCGCTTCCACACTATCCTATAGCAGAAATACTGCTACAGGGAAGCACGGGTGTGCCAAATCACGCATTCGCTGTCAATCACCGACTACCGGCTGGTGATTACTCACTGGCATCCGGTGATCGCTGAGTATATCCGACGGGGGAGAGACCTGTGTATAAACAATACAGATCTCTCCCCTGTCAGCTCCTTCATGCTGCTTTGTATGGCTGTGCATAGCACAGCCATAGAAAGCAGTGTGCTTATGGTGGAAAACACTTACACAGTGAAACAGCACACATTTAACTCTTTGATCACCCCACATGTTAACCCCTTTCTGCCCAGTGCCATTAGTACAGTGTCAGTGCTTTTTTATTAGCACTGATCACTGTATTGGTGTCACTGGAGATGTCAGTGACACCAAGTCAGTTCCCCCCAGTGTCAGAATGCCCGCCGCAGTCCGGCTAAAAGTTGCTGATCGTCGCCAATTACTAGTACAAAAAAGAGATGAAAATTCCAGTATATATACTGCCATTTGTAAACACTATAACGTTCACGTAAACCAGGGGTGTCCAAACTTTTTTCAAAGAGGGCCAGATTGGATGAAGTGAACATGGTGGAGGGCCGAACATTTTTCCGAACATTCTTTGAACCATTACAATTAAATGCAAATAAATTATTTTATGCCAAGTTAATTGCAAACGACATACTTTTCATTTCATAACATTAAGATCAACTGACAGCTGAGTTTTCACAATGTATTAAAAATAAATTAAAAAAAAACTTACCTGCACTAATGTGAAGGGTGAAAAAGGTAGCTGGAGCTGAAGTCTCTGCTCGGCAGCCGGGAGGGGAAGAGAGAAACACACTTCACGCTGGAAGCCCCGGCCCTGACGTCACCGCCCTCTGTCGCTCCCAGCACGGCGCAGTCACGCATGCGCACTGCTCTCAAGCAGAAGACTGTCTGCCACAGAATGGAGGGCCGTGCGACAGCCGCATTTACACAGACCAGGGAGAACGCGCTGCAGTCAGGCATGCGCACTGCCCTCGGCTCTCAAGCAGAAGACTGTCTGCCATAGAAGGGAGGGCCGTGGGAGGGCCACATTACACAGAGCATGGAGGGCTGTTGGAAGGCCGTATTAAACCGACCCCCGGGCCGTAAATGGCCTGCGGGCCGGACTTTGGACATGCCTGACGTAAACCAATTAATTTACACGTATTGGGTTTTTTTTTAGCAAAGACATGTGGCAGAATACATTTTGGCCTAAATTTATGACGAACTTTGACTTTTTTAATTTTTTTGCTGAACATGTTTAATAGCAAAAAGTCCAAAATATAGTTTTTTCTCAAAATTGTTTGTTTTGTTTATAGAATGAATAAACAGTGCAGCGCTAGAAATATGATTAAGAAAATGATAATAAATCAAAGTTCTATGATTATAGTCTGTATGATTATAAAGTGCCAGGTGACTGGTAGAATCAATGGTGGTGCTCCGTGAGAAATAGCTGAATTGCGCACTCACCAGAAGTATATTGATTATACACGTTATATATCACATCCAGAGGTATCCTCTTCAGGTATAGGTCTGGTCAGGTTAGGTAATCCTCCCTCAGGGTGGTAATCATCAATTATTGGGATCCAGGTAACCAGAAGTCCCTGTAAGGGGATGGGTAGAAGGAGCTGCCTGCTTACAGGATTTCTTCCTCCTCTTGGTAAGGTAACTGGATCATAATACTGGGCTCTGAATAAATACTCCTTTAGCCCTGCTTGGCAGACCAGGGATCACCTCACTGCTGGTTCTCAGGATGGTCGTGTTCTGTTTTTTTACTGGACATGTTTAATAGCAAAAAGTCCAAAATATAGTTTTTTTCTCAAAATTGTCTGTTTTTGTTTGTTTATAGCTCAAAAAATAAAAAATACCCAGGTGATCAAATACCGCCGAAAGAAAGCTCTATTCGTGGGGAAAAAAAGGACGTAAATTGCATTTGAGTGCAGCGTTGCACAACGCGCAATTGTCAGTTAAAGTGACGCAGCGCCGTATCGCTAAATATGGCCTGGTCAGGAAGGGGGGTAAATCCTCTAGAGGGCAAGTGGTTAAAGAGAACCTGTCAAAGTAAATATGTTATCACATAAGGGGCTATTGGTCCATTATATGATGGCAATAAAGGTAAGGTGGTACTAAACACACATTAATGTTTCATTTACATTGTCCCTTCGCTTCCTGTATAGGGATGATGGCACTGTAATTATTTTAATTAATAAAATCTTCGTACCTTTTTCCTAATCGATATACAGCTGTCACATGACCCAGCTCTTTCCCAGCCTGTCTGCAGAGAGCTTCTAGTCCTGTGCTGCTGACCACAGTAAAAGAAACAGCCTTGGGATACAGAGTAAAAATAAGGAATATCAATAAACTGTTTTAAAACATCGTACAAATATATATTTGAAATCAAATCTTTATTATTTTTGGCAAAAACATGGTGTCACAGGCTGTGTCACACTCCTCCAGTCTGTGTCTTATGCAGGCCACACATGGTTCGAATTCCGAACAATTTTTCATCCGAAAATCAGAAACGTTGTTCGCTCGGTAATCCAATGGTGCCATCATTGATTTCGAAAATCGGCCAACCAAGTCATAAAGTTCACCCCATATAACATGCAAAACCTCTGTTCCTTCCAGGTCACGGCTCATGCGCATATTCTTTTCGGAAAAATGATTGTACGATTTGACCATCATTGAGTCGAAAATCGGTCGTTTTTCACAAATTTCCCAAAATGCCGATCACCGTAAAGGGGAGGAACCACGAAAATCGGCCAGTGCCATTGACCCACTAACAGAGTGAAAATCGGACGATTATTCTTAGGTCCGATTTTCAGACAAAAAATTGGTCGATTTTTCTAACCATGTATAACAGGGAGGAGAAGCCTCCATCAATCAAGCTCTAATATCCTACCCCATTGTGTTTAGCTGGTTAGTAGGCATGGAGGAGGAGGGAGGGAGTGGGCTGTCTTTTACCACTGTGTATACGCCCACATGTGTGACTCTATGATTGGGAGGTGTTGTCCTAGGAAAGGAATTTGGGGGGGCAGGATTAGTGCTAAGGGAATTTGGGGGGATTTTTGGTGTGGGAGGGGGACTTGGGGGCCTTATACTCAGAGGGGAAATTTGAAGGGTAGCAGATCTGTGCTAGGAGGGGGGATGAAGAGGAGAGGATTTGTAAGGGGAAGTTTTGTTTGGGGAGGAATTTTGGCTTGTAAGGGAATTTATGCGTAGCGGTAGGTGTAAATATTAGTGCTCAAAATTCTTTTTCGTTTGGGGGGAGGGGATTTTTGCTGACACAATGCTCATACATTCCTCTTTTGGGGGGGTGCCATTCGGCATCTTCTCCCTGGGTGCTACATGACCTTGTCCCGGCACAGATGACAGAGATCCTGATTTACTGAAGCAAACAGAAACCATGAAGTCCCTGAACCCCCCATCCATGTTTGGGACCCCCATGTTTCGATCATGAGGATCTCTGTGTAAGGGAGGGTTATATCTGCCCCCAGTTTTATTTTTTTTTTTGCCATCTGTGCCCCTTTGGGGAGATTTTCCTTCACTTTCTTTCCCAAAACAGGAAGTGAATAGAACTCCATCCGAAGTGAGGGAATCCTGGGTTATCACTAGTGTCACCATTGGAAGATTTTCCCTCTGTTCCTGTTCTGGTGACAACCCCAAAATGTTCATGTTCACTCTTTGTGATGTTGGTAAACAGGAGAATAGAGAGGGTGAAGAGGGAGTAATAATAACCTGACAGGGGTTCATATCCCTCTACATTGCATCCCCAAACTGAAAACACAAAGTGTGGCCCTTAGTTATCCTGGAAGAGGACTGTATGAGGTAACACCGCATGCCAGGTATAACACTACGGACATGGACTGTGCTGGCAGTGAAAGGGTGAAGGCAGCAGTGACGTCACGCTGCCTCGGTGGTGTTAGTCAGCGGTCCATGTGCCCATAAGCCGTGTGTGTGGCGCTCCATGGCCTGCCCATGAGTCACTGTCCCTTTAAGGGAAGGCGCACGCTCGCGCACACACATCTAATCAGCTCTCTCTCCTCTAATCAGCGGCCCGGAGAGCACAGCCAGGTGACACATGTCCGTCCATGTGTATCCAACCCTCGCCGTCACGCCCCTTCGCACCGCCGATTGGCCATAACTGGGTCAGGCCCCTCCCAGCCGGCGCCCGATTGGACAAATCTAGGTCAGGGTCCACCTGCCTCTCCCCTCTGTCAGTGCCACATGACTGTAGCAGGAGAAGTTGGAAAACACAAACAGAGCGGGGCAGGCACAGGCAGTGACAGGAGCGCGGAGAGAATCACGGCGAAATAAATAAATGGTGCAAGGAAAAAAAGCTGCAGAGCCTGGAGCTGATTGGCTGCCCGAGGAGCCTCGGTTCATGGATGCAACTGCTGCAGACTCCTCCTCCATTGTCTGTGCCATAGAGGGAAAGAAGAGCCCAGGAACACTGATTCCCATTGATCAGGAATGGGGGGAACTCCTGCCTGCTACCCATTGCAACAACACCCCTCTGGGCACCCCATAGCTGGTGCTGAGTGATCGGCCTGGACTGATCTGCATTGATTCCCAGTCATCTCATTGTCATCTGCTCTTCCCCATCAGAGGGACTGCTGGGAGAACACAGGGGATCACCTGCACCTTGCCATTCTATTAGCTGCTATTTCATTGGCATCCAGACTGTGCCAGGCGATGGCACGGCCAACCACCCAGCTGGCTGCCAGCGAGAAGCTCCAGGGCCAGCAGCTGCATCCTGCTCCTCCCATTGGTGTTCCAGGAGGGGGGATGGTGAGCCTCAAGAGCCTGCTACAAGGGCCCATCAAGGGGCAAGAGCGCAGGACCAAGGAGCTGTCCAACTGTAAGTATGGCGTCTGCGTTCATGTGTGTGCATGTCTGCTCCTGTCTGACGCTCCATGCTCCAGAACCTTTCCATGAAATTTTATTGGGGATTATTACCGAAGGTAGATTGCCAGATCTTTGGCCAACACTCCCTGATTGCTCAGGCCTGGGACCGGCATATAAAATCTGCTAACACATTGGTGGTCAGTGGGAGGTATGCCTCCTATGTTGATGGCCAGTGGCAAGAATGTTCCTGACATTGGAGGCCAGTGGGAGGTATGCCTCTTATGTTGATGGCCAGTGGGAGGTATGCCTCTTATGTTGATGGCCAGTGGGAGGTATGCCTCTTATGTTGATGGCCAGTGGGAGGTATGCCTCTTATGTTGATGGCCAGTGGGAGGAATGCTTCCTGGCGTTGGCGGCCAGCGGAAGGAATGCTTCCTGGCGTTGGCGGCCAGCGGGAGGAATGCTTCCTGGCGTTGGCGGCCAGCGGGAGGAATGCTTCCTGGCGTTGGCGGCCAGCGGGAGGAATGCTTCCTGGCGTTGGCGGCCAGCGGGAGGAATGCTTCCTGGCGTTGGCGGCCAGCGGGAGGAATGCTTCCTGGCGTTGGCGGCCAGCGGGAGGAATGCTTCCTGGCGTTGGCGGCCAGCGGGAGGAATGCTTCCTGGCGTTGGCGGCCAGCGGGGGAGGAATGCTTCCTGGCGTTGGCGGCCAGCGGGAGGAATGCTTCCTGGCGTTGGCGGCCAGCGGGAGGAATGCTTCCTGGCGTTGGCGGCCAGCGGGAGGAATGCTTCCTGGCGTTGGCGGCCAGCGGGAGGAATGCTTCCTGGCGTTGGCGGCCAGCGGCAGGCATGCTTCCTGGCGTTGGCGGCCAGCGGCAGGCATGCTTCCTGGCGTTGGCGGCCAGCGGCAGGCATGCTTCCTGGCGTTGGCGGCCAGCGGCAGGCTTGCTTCCTGGCGTTGGCGGCCAGCGGCAGGCTTGCTTCCTGGCGTTGGCGGCCAGCGGCAGGCTTGCTTCCTGGCGTTGGCGGCCAGCGGGAGGCTTGCTTCCTGGCGTTGGCGGCCAGCGGGAGGCTTGCTTCCTGGCGTTGGCGGCCAGCGGCAGGCTTGCTTCCTGGCGTTGGCGGCCAGCGGCAGGCTTGCTTCCTGGCGTTGGCGGCCAGCGGCAGGCTTGCTTCCTGGCGTTGGCGGCCAGCGGCAGGCTTGCTTCTTGATGCTGGCGGCCATTGGCAAGAGTGCCCCTCTTACAGCAGAAAAGTAGCAGTCGCCACTGAGGTCAGTCAGCCACTTCTCTTGGAACCCTAGCAACCTCTGGAGGAACCCTGGTTGAGAATGGCTGCTGTAAGACATAGCCGAGTGTTTGTAGTAAATCTCAATAGCTCTAATGTGCTCATATGATGAAAATCTGTAAATATCTTCTACCTTCTCTATCAGTTTCAGAGCAGCTGTGAATTTGTAATGAGATAAATGGCCAGATCTTTGGTCAGCCCTTCCCAACTGCTCAAGGTTGGGACCGGCATGCAGAACATGATAACACACGTGCATGGCCAATTTAGACACAAGCCAATTAATCTACCAACGTGTCTTTGGAATGTGGGAGGATATCGGAGGAACTCAAACACAGGGAGCGCATGCAAACTCCATGTAGATGTGTATGTGTATACATACATAGATACATTAGAAAGTATTTCAGTATCCGGTGCTATGGTTAGTGCTGTGTGTGTATCTAATATGGTGGCAACTTCGTATGTGGCTAAGTTATTTGTTGGCAGTGCTCCTTACACTGGCTGAAAAAGGAAATGATTTTCAATATTAACTATGTGTGATGTTTTTTTCTGCTGGTTGTCAGGACTTCTTAGTTTCCCCAAAATTGATGTCATGTTTCTATCATTTGTAACCCAGAACCCACATTTTCAGGAACCTAAGCGTAAATAAGGGCGCTGAAGTGGTGATCGTAAGCTTTGTGGCTATAACTGACCCCCCAAGACAGCCTTTCACAATCTGCTTACCTCACAGGGGCCCTTTAAACAATATTTAGGTCTATGGGAACCCCTGCTTGAAACAATTAATTGCTGGTTGGTGGGAAGACTGCCCCCCCCCCCCCCTTAGATTGGTGAGAAGGATGCCCCCCCCCCATATTGGTGGAAAGAATGTTTCTTTACATTGATGACCATTGGGAAGAATGCCCCCCCCCTCCTCAGGTTGGTGTGAAGGATGCCCCCCCCCCTTTCTCAGGTTGGTGAAGGAAGGATGCCTCCCCCCCCCCCCCCCCCTCAGATTGGTGGGAAGAATTATCCCCTTAGGTTGGTAGGAAGAATGTTTCCTTACATTGATGACAATTGAGAAGAATGCCCCCCCCTCTTTAGATTGGTGGGAAGAATACCCTCCCCCTTTGCATTGGTTAGAAGAATGCCCCCCCCCTTTTCCTCAGATTTGTGGGAAGAATACCCCCCTGAACCCTCAGTTTGGTGGGAAGAATGTTCCCCCCCCCCCCCCCTTCCCCTTAGATTGGTGGGAAGAATACCCCCCTTAGATTGACGAGAAGAATGCCCCACTTTTTCCTCAGTTTGGTAGGAAGAATGCCCCCCCCCCTTAGATTGGTGGGAAGAATGCCCCCCTTTAGATGGGGACCAGTGTGAAGAATGCTCCCCTTCCACTGAGGCCAGTGGGAAGAGTACCTCTGTACATTGGTAGTCAATGGGAAGCATGGCCCACATACATTGTGGGACAGTGGGAGGAATATATTTTACTCACCCCTTGCCGCATACATTGGTGGTCACCATACATTGGTGGTCACCATACATTGGTGGTCACCATACATTGGTGGTCACCATACATTGGTGGTCAGTGGGAAGAATGGCCATCCTGTACATTGGTGATCACTAAAAGGAATGCCTTCCCCCCCCCCCCCCCCACCATATATTGATGGTCAGTGGGACACCCCCCCTCTTTCCCCAGTGCAATGGTGGTGAGTGGGAAGAATGCACATCTTATAGGCAGCTAAAGAAGGTGGTGTCATTGACTCTGCCAAGTGGTATTGGCCCCAGAACTGCCCAGGCACAGATGGGAGGTCAATCAGCCACAGCTCGAGGAACCCCTAGCAACTTCTGGTTATGAGTGTCTGTCCTGAGACATAGCAGAGTGTTTGTAGTAAATCCTGATAGTTCCAGGAATGTCTGTATACATTCTACCTTCCTCTACTCACAGCTGGTAATGACATGGGCTTACTCCAAGCAAAGGTCACTTCATAGACTCACATGTTGCATTGTTTGTGCAGAGATTACGGTCTATTGCTTATTTCATTCCATCTTCACTTGTGTCTATTGTATTTCATATTTGTTTGTATTAGATTAATCATTTTGTATTGTTTTGTAGCACTGTGCTAAGTGGGATTTTAGTTTTATAGAATGTTTAGCATTTTCCTGAAGGGCCCATCCAGATTGCCCATTGCATTAACACACGCACTTTTGTTGAGACACATTAAGACCGCTAATTTATGTTGCATGAAAAAAATGTACCTGCAACTTATTTGCCAGCTCTGTGCTCAGATGGCTCATATCTGTGCATTTCAATGTGCTATGATGCAAATGCGTTGTGCTGTGCAGGTATGTGTGTTGTAGTACCATTCCAAATCAGTATCCTCTTAGTTCTGTGCATTAAAGGCTAAGCTCACCTTTTGATAGAAAAAAAAAAGGTGTAATAGTTCCCAGCATCCTCCCTAATCCCTGGTGCCCACTACACCTCTCTATGATGATCACATTTCCCACACATTTAATGGTCTGCACACTAGAATCACAGTGTACACTCACAGTCTCAGTACACTCTACCATCACAGTGCACACAGTAGAAAGCTGTCAATGGTCTCTTCTTTCTTCCGGGATTCTATGTCTGAAAAAGACAGGAAAAGATTTTCATTGGTCATTGCAGTCCCCTGACTATGTTGACCAATGACAGCTCCCCACTATCTTCAATGAATATTATTCAGGGCTGATTCACGCTTAAATGATTAGTTGAAGTACGTCACTTTGGGCGTTGAGTTAAGGTTGCCTATTCATATAAATGGACGGCCAATGCAACAGATCAACAAATGCACATGACATTTCTAGAAACACAGCTGCACAGTGCATTATACATTGCCCTCCACTGTACAGTGTATTGGGGTACAATTCACAATGAATATAGGAAACATAAGGCAGCACTTTCTGAGTGTAGTGTTAGGAACAACCATTTAATAGAATAAGAATTGGCTCAGAACTCACAAAACTAAAGGCAATCAAGAGTCTATCAGACAAGTAGATGGCCGCCTCCCTGCACTCAGGACTGGACCACTGCAGGCAATGTGTATGAAGACCACTTGACCACTCTGATTGGTGCCAGAGCTCCAAGACTACCAAGGATCCACAAGACTGTCAGCTGTGACATCACCAGAGGCGGAAGTGGGAGGACAAACTGGCGTGCGTTCGGAGCACGGGTGCTTTTTTTTGTCTAGTCATAGAGTGGCCATGTCTGGGAAGGGCATTTTATATACAACACTGTAAGCAGACTAACATGCCAGCGGACTAGCAAAACATTAATTTATAACTAAAAACAGCTAAAAAAAGCTAAGAAATACTGGGCTGCAGCAAAATAGGGTACTAATTTAACTATCTATAAACATATTTAAAAAGGAAAGGAAAAAAATTGTACCTACAATGGATGAATCCCGATAGAGATCATAAGGCTTCTATTAAATGCAATAAAGAAAAAAATTGGTAAGCGATTACGCTCATATTTATTAGAAACCGTTATAATACAGTACATAGCTAATAAATATTGCTAAATCTTGATGTGTGCTTTTGGTGCTATTGTGTAAGCCATCATGGGAAGGTAACTATAACTTGAAATTAATATTAAAAAGACTATTTGTAATGGGAGGAGGACAGGAATGGCCTGACATATTAAATGCCCAGAGTCACTGGGCTCAATTTTTAATGTGGACATATAGATGAAAGTCTGGTCAGTGGCAAGTACCTATGGAA